GTATTATCAAGTTGTCAGCACTGTCCTGGTATAAATTGTTCATAATTGAGTAAACAGAAAACATCATTTAAAACTGTGATGTGTTGAAAAATGACTCACTTCTCTCCCGTGAGGAGAGGAGGTGTGAGTGGTACCAAAGATTAACTGAACACGTTTCCTCTCTTCCTTCAACACTCTTTAGTGCTACTGTGAGCTGGTGTTTTACCCACTTGAATAAGGCATGATTGTTTGCGTAGTGTTTTTATCTTTACCCCCTCTTTTTTCTGTTTTCTTGTCTTTTACCTCTTTTGCCGCTGCCAGGGAAGATAAGATGTTTTCTGAAAATGAGATAAGGAACATTTTGTTCCAAGTTTTGTCTGGCTTAGCTTTTGTGCATAAGCACGGTAAGAGCCTTCTGATTTCGCTTTCGCTTCCAACAGGGTTCGTACATTTCACCTATAACCAGGCCCGTCCCTCCCTACAGGCCGATCATGCAGACTGCGCGGGGCCTCATCTTGCAGAGGGTGCCTCAACTGAGCCGAAAATGCGGCGCAATTAGTGTAGCGCTCGCGAAACAGAGGGCCTCATCATATAAATTTGCGTGGGGCCTCATGTGGGCCAGGGACGGCCCTGCCTATAACAACAAAACAGTGGGATTGTGTAGAGAAACCNGTGTGCCTTGGCAGTCTCATCATATAAATTTGCGTGGGGCCTCATGTGGGCCAGGGACGGCCCTGCCTATAACAACAAAACAGTGGGATTGTGTAGAGAAACCACCAGATTGTGATGAAAATCAAGCATTTTACAAGAAATATCAGAAACATGTAAGCATATTAGTAATCTTGAAACAAAACAAGACTTTGTACAAACCCTGTTCAAGGCTTGCTTGTCTGTGTCCGGTTAAAACATCTTTCTTTTGGTCAGAGATGTTTTAACTCTGTGTTTGAATCTAGATGTTTACATTTAGATCAAATTGTGATTTTAATAAATAGAGGGTTGTGTCATTATTAGTAGCACAAGTGGTAGAAACTTGGTGGCAATAACTATTTAGTTTGAGAGAACAATACAAATCTGGACAAACATCAGAACATATCTTTTTCAGGGTATTTCCATCGGGACATGAAGCCGGAGAACTTGCTCTGCATGGGCCCAGAGCTGGTGAAGATCGCTGACTTTGGACTAGCCAGAGAGATCCGCTCACAGCCACCTTACACTGACTATGTGTCCACAAGATGGTGAGACTCATTTACCTACAAGATGATATCAGGGCAGTGTACAGTACGAACAATGCCAAACTACATTGCATCACATCAAAAGGTGTTAGTCTGTGGAATAACTGGAATGATGCACTCGAATATTGTACGAGTCTATCTAAACTGAAAGTATTATTTAGGAGCCAAATCATGAATGGTTATGAACAGGACCTGTACAATCCCATTTGTTATTTCTTGTAATTGTAAAAGTAATTTCTTTCTGATTGTTTTGTAAAAGACAAACATGTCGCTGACCTAATATTTTATTTATAAGGAAAATGTATGCTAGAGGGGGTAGGACCAGAAAAGCTTTTTTTTAAGCTTCTTCTGTTGAACATGACAGAGGCAATTTGAGAATTATTTTTATTTATTTATTTTTTGTACTTTGTTATAATTATTATGAGTTAGAAAAGAAAAAAATATATGTATTATTATTATTGTTGTATGTTTTGTTTCTGACATGTTCAATAAATTGACTAAAAATTTAAAAATGTAAAAAAAAAGTACAGGTCATTCCTGTGGAAGATCTACACAACAACCATTACTATTTACATGATTACATACCATTTGGGGAAAGTGAGAAAATATGCTCGTTTGCAACTAAACTGTAGCTCTCGTCAGATAGAAGAGACACAACCATTTCTTTTTCTAAAGATAAGATGAAATAAAACGGACCCTGTAGGGAAATGTAGTTAATTTAATGACAAAAAGTACTGTAGTAAAGTAGAACATAAATTAAACTAGAATGGCACTTGGAGAGAGAGCACACTTCTGCCAAGACCAAATGCCCTTTTTTGCAATGTTTACAAAAGTGAAAGATCATTAGTGTATCCTCCCCTTCCCTTGCCCATGTTACACCCTTCCACTGAATTTAATGACAGTCATTAGTATGTAATCTAGACAAACAAACCAAATTAAAACAGTGACCTCCTTGGAAAATGGACCAAACAGGAATTAAAGCCAAACTAGAGTTAAGTCATGAGTAAATCTGCGTTAAATATCCTCCCTCTGGTTCTGACAGGTACCGGGCCCCGGAGGTTCTGCTAAAGTCTAACTGCTACAGCTCACCCATCGACATCTGGGCGGTGGGATGCATCATGGCGGAGCTGTACACTCTCAGACCTCTGTTCCCTGGAAACAGCGAGGTGGACGAGATCTTCAAGATCTGTCAGGTGCTGGGAACGCTGAAGAAAGTGAGCCACCTCAGCACAAAGTCACATGTTGGGCGCTGCTGTCGCACCAACCGGGACCTCTGAAATTAAAACTTCTGCCCTTCTATGACGCAAACATCAAACGGCTGTTTCTACCTTCTATGTTATTAGCTCTGACCAACAGATCTATAGTCAGAATGGGCAACGTATAAACATTTTATCGACATTTTAGTATGTGACTAGATATTGTCTCTTATATATAAGATTGTTGGCATATCCTAATATGCCAACAATCTGGTTTTAAAGGCTGCATTACCGTAAAGTGATTTGATCATTTGTCTTTACCCACTAACTTATTAAATCTACATTACTGATTTTAATTTATCAAATATTTCAGAGGTTTTCTCAACAGTGCAGCAATGCATTTGATCATTTTGTCAGGATTTTTGTCCGCTACTAGTATTTTAATGTCTTTTCTTTTGTTGTGAAGTTCTTGTGACTCACTGTGGGTTTTTGTTGTCTCTCACCACATCAGCCAGACTGGCCTGAGGGCGTCAAGCTTGCCACCTCGATGAACTTCCGCTTCCCAAAGTGCGTCCCCACCAGCCTCAGATCTCTGATCCCAAACGCCAGCAGCGATGCGATCACACTGATGAGAGACATGCTGCAGTGGGACCCTGAGAAGAGACCGAGTGCTGCTCAGGTACTTTGAAAACCCTTTGAGTTTGAACGTAGACTGAATAGAAACATACAGTGAAGACAACCCTCTCATTTTGATTCAACAGTGTTTGGTGAATACTTTTATCTTGAGCACCTTTGAGTATCTATTTTTAGATACTCAAAGTGGGAATCAATCAGCTTACCTTTACCTGCTGTACAACCAAACTGTGTGTACAGCTGCAGCAATGCACGTCCATTGACCTCATTCCAATAACTAATAGCTTGAAAATTACAAATAGAATAAAAGTAGTTTTCAGTGCTCCAAATATTTATTTATGTGCGTTTTAAATTTCAGTGTTAGAAATATGCAATTATGGTTTGTCTCATTAGTATTTTACTATAAACTGTATATCTTACAATCAATCACATGTCCTTTAAACACAAATCCATTGCTTTATTTTCATCTGCTTGTCTGGGCTTTTATTTTGAAAAGGCTACATTTTTGTATTTAATGTATCACATTTGTTCTTTTTCTATAATGAATTCGCTGCTTTATGCAATGTTGTGAGCTTCTTACTTGTAGAAAAATAAACATTATGAGCACAGATGTAATTGAGGGTTATCTTCCCTGTGTTCCAGGCTCTACGGTATCCATACTTCCACGTCGGCCCGGCGCTCGGTGCTCCTCTGAAGAACTCGGAGCAGCACAAGGCTCAGCCAAAGATGTACGAGACGTCTTCAGGAACAAAGCCTCTGTCCCTCTGTAAGACGGACCTGGAGTCCAGCGAGCAGAGTAGGACCCAGAGAAGCAGCCAGTCTCTGCACCAGCCTCTTCAGCAGATACTTCTCCCTCAGAACAACATGGAGCAAAACCCAAAACAAACAATGTGTTCTTCCACGCTGACACGGGGACAGCAGGAACCCCTCAGCCTGGTGAAAAGCAGGCAACCAATGAGCTATCAGGCTGTAGGTATCAACGAACTGCAGCTTCTGTATGTAAAAAGTAGATCTTCTTGAAGCTTTGGAACTTATTTCTTCTTTATTTCAAAGCCTACAGGAGCAGAGAACAGCATGAGTGCAGTGAGGACGGGACGCAGACGCTGGGGACAGGCGTCTATCAGATCAGAGGACAGCTGGGACGACGGAGAGGAGGCAGAAGCCGGAGTCTCCATCTCCAAAAAGCCCACCATCAGCTCTCTGAAGGATGGGGCAGCAGAGGGGCCCAGCTGTCGGTTAGACCTCCTTATTTTCATGTAAAAGTTTTCATTACTGTTGTGAAAAAAAACAATAATGTGATATTTGTGTGTCTAGATTGGTAGAGTCGCAGAACAAAGCAGAAAGAAAGCTGCCGAGCAACAGCGGGCTGAACCGAGCTGAATCCTCCACGCTGTCCGCCAAGCAGCACTACCTCCGCCAGTCCAGATATCTGCCCGGTGAGGAAAAGAGATCTAAGGAAATTCATTAAATTAATAATGCACTAATGACAGGTATTGTGCGATCATTTTGTTGATGAGGGGGAGTGATAATGTCTGTAATATGTTTGCACAATATGAAAATCAATAGCATCAAGAAATGTCCTTTTGGTGTCCAAGGAGGGCATGAATGATTAACCCTGATGTACAACAGGTGCAGTTATGTAAGCATCTCCATGGATGTCCTATTTATGTTGTGTCTGTGAAAAAATAAGAAGTTTAAAAAAATAAAAAGTAATGCACTAATGAGCCTGAATGCAGTGTCATGACCTGGCTCTTGGCCATAACAAAAGCGTGGAAAGGACAAGATATATGAAAAGATATTTATTAACAACAACCCAACGTCAAACATAACTAACATAAAGGCAAGGCAAAAGCATAAACGAAAAGGCTGCTCTCCCGGCAGCCAGGTGTCCTCAATCAACGCTGACGGACAAAGGGAGAACATTAAAGGACCACACACATACAACAGGATATAGCAAAGCAGGGGTCGTCACACCCCCCCCCACCCCCACCCCTTAAAGTTGGTGTCCCCAGGACCACTGGCACACCAACCCCAACCCTGACAAAAACAAAAAACAAACCGTAATGAAAAACAACAACAAAAATACCTATGGTACCCTATTTTTCATCTCTGATAACCAGTGGCTTGGAAAGGGGGTTCTTTAACAAAGCATTATACAAAACATTTGTGAAAATTATACAACCAACCATCATTCTGAAAAAAAAAATAAGTTATGCGCAGTTTTCTTCGGGCCAATCTTTTACCAGGTGGTCCGCCTGAAAGAGACAAATACCCAACAGACCAAATGTATCATTGTTTAAATTGCAACTTGTTGTGTGGGCTCGGGTGTTCACTCCATTGTTGTCATTTTTAGGCATAAATCCAAAGAACAGCTCTTTAGCAGAAAGCCCGGTGACCGTCAGAAACCTGTGGGGCGCCTCGGGTTTAACCAGAGAAAAGAGGCCAGAGCTTCCTCTAAATAAAGGTAAGAAAGACTTCAGAACACAAATGAAATGCTGATAACCTGGTTTTAGATCATCTCTTGCCTGTGCGCCAGTGCGTGCCTCCCTATGTGCGGAAAACTCAGCTTTTTGAGGGCAATAACATTTTTGTTTTTGAAAGTATAGATTGAAGCAGAATTTTTTTTGTAAAAGCATTTAATCTGGAAATAATAACATTCATCCTTTTTCAATAAATGTTAACTTTATAAACGCTCTGGAGAAATCGTTCGTCCGTGGTCGGGTCCCGGAGGTAGCAGTTCCAGCAGAGAGCCCCAAACTTTCTTTCCCTGGCCACATCAACCAGCTCTGACTGGGGGATCCCAAGGCGCTCCCAGGACAGCAAAGAGATATAATCCCTCCACCTATTCCTAGGTCTACCCCTTGGTCTCTTCCCAGCTGGACGTGCCTGGAACACCTCCCTAGAGAGGCGCCCAGGTGGCATCCTAACTAGGTGCCCGAACCACCTCAACTGGCTCCTTTCTACGCCAAGGAGGAGCGGTTCAACTCCGAGTCCCTCCCGGATGACCGAACTTCTCACCTTATCCCTAAGGGAGACACCAGCCACCCTGCGGAGAAAACCCATCTCGGCCGCTTGTATCCGCGATCTCGTTCTTTCGGTCATGACCCATCCTTCATGACCATAGGTGAGGGTAGGAACGAAAATGGCGAGGTAGACAGAGAGCTTTGCCTTCTGGCTCAGCTCCCTTTTCGTCACAACGGTGCGGTAAAGTTTTTCCTTGTACGATGTGAGGGTCTAAGGACAGAGGGTGTCGTATTGTCATACTGATATTCTGTACAAACTGTGAAGTCCACTGAGACAAATGTAACATTTGTGATATTGGGCTATATAAATAAACATTGATTGATTGACTGCAGTACCGCCCCCGCTGCTCCGATTCTCCGGCCCATCTCACGCTCCATTGTTCCCTCACTCGAAAACAAGACCCCGAGATACTTGAACTCCTTCACTTGGGGTAAGGACTCATTCCCTACTTGGAGTGGACAGTCCATCGGTTTCCTGCTGAGAACCATGGCCTCAGATTTGGAGGTGCATTCTATTATCAATTATGATGTACAGCCCTGTACATGCAACATGTAAATAGATACACTTGAGATTTCCTATTTTATTTTCCTCGGGTTTAATCCTTCTTCTCTTCTCTCTATGTTGTGGGTTTTAGACAATCGTCTTCCTAAACTAACAGATCAGCAGCCTCTTAAAGAAAAGACTCTGGAGGATCGTGATCTTTCTAAAGGTATCTGTTCACAGAGTTACTCTACTTTGCTGTTATTCGGAAATGATTGACATTTGAAATCCCAATATTAAAGCCAGTAATAACATCAGCAGTGGATTATATTAGACTTGGAGCAGGTCATCAGTTAGTGATGTGACTCTTGTCCTTACAGACTCCTTCCTGAGCAACAAAAACCAGACACAGACACAGATGCCCCCTTTTCAGAAGGCTGATCCAGGATCAGCGAGACACAGGATCACACTGGCCCCCATAGGAGGCAGCTCTGCCAGTGAGTTCTTCGTTTGATATCTAGAAATAACTGGGAGTGTCATTGTTTTTCTTTTGAGAGCTGTTTCCTTTTGTGTACACTCTTGCTCTTCCGTCATAGCTGGGCAAAAGCGCCCCCTGGAGTCAGAACATAGTCCTTCAAGATGTCTAAGAAGATAGTCACTGACTAAGGAAGATTTCAAGTTTTCCAGCCCTGAACAATGTGTTCATTTGTATTTGTATCAATTGTCTTTTAGTAATATTGAAGCGTTAATATAAACTTATAAGACATACATGCACACATGTACAAAGTATAATAATGATAGTTACGTAAAATAGCATACAAATATAATATATAATTAAAAAAAGATAAATCGCTTGATCTAGAAACTGATCTGCAGGTCTATAATATAAATACGTCTCATTATAAGATTTTATGAGACATAATTATCAGTTTCCAGTGTCTGTGGTCCACTTCCATTATATTGTGGGAAGTTGTCTATTATTTTTTTGATATATTCTGACAAGAGAATGTAAATACAAAAATGGAAAATGTGCATTTCAAATTCTATCCACTATTTAAAAAGCTCATCACGTTACGGACTTTTTGATTTTGTATTGCTGTCATTCTTTTAACCTGAATATTTGCCCTCTTTCTTTTTGTAAATCTTGTAGTGGATCTAAGAGTTGAGTCCAAAATCAAATCATCCAAGAAGAAGACCTCCTTAAATAAACCACTACCCTCAAACGAAGGTAAAAAACAAACAAAAGCTGAAATGATGTGTGCAGTTTGATGTTGCTTCCCCGGAATAGGCCTGAACCTTTCCTCTCTCTCTCATGATGATCTACCAGAGCACGAAGGGTGGAGGAGCCGATCGCTGAATCCTCCGATCTCTGGACCCAGCGCCTCAGGGTGGAGCTCGACCCTGCAGCCGGTGCACGGACGGGTCGACTGGACCGCCAAATACAAAGGAAACCAGTAGCACCAGTCCACTCTGCTCCACTAAAGACTCATGAGACCAGTTCCCACTGCACTAGAGCCAGGAAATGCTCTAAAGGAGAAGTGTTTCCTGCTAGTCTGTTACATTTGCCACGTTAAAAAATATTGTCCAGTGTCGTACATGTGTCCCATAACTCCTAGAGTCAGTATTTTATTGAAATAATAGACAATGAAGTCGTTATATTGTATTAAAGTTTTTTATTTTACAACAGCAGATATATTTTTAAAGATAAAAACATTACTTTTCTGTATAAAAATGTATTTTTCTTTCTTGTACCTTATCTTATAAAGTCACATTTTATATCACATGTTTTATACAGAACCAGAATGTAATAGTAAACAAGGGAATGTCTGTGAATGTACAGTATGTGGAAACCCACATTATTAAATTTTATGTCAAACATATGCATTGACACACTGAAAAAACATCTGTACATATTTTTAAGATTTATGTGGTTTCTTTTGCATGCCAGAGATGATCTTCACCAGCATCAGTCCACTGAAAATAAACATTTACAACAGAATTTATGTTTCAAAATGAGTGAAAAGTAATGTATGTGTATATGAAAAAACTAAAACAAAGGTATATGAATGATTATTATCTGTGATGGAAATTAAAATCTGATAACAAGTGATTCCGTTTCACCTTGCTAAAGTCATTAAACCAGCTGGCATGAACTTCCAGGAGTTGAGAAACCTCAGTCCCATCACCACCGCCAGAGTCCCAGAGGTGCCTGCAGGGGAACAGATGTGTTTGTGAAAGCTGCAATTATACTTTAACAAATTCAAACTTGCTCACCTAGAGAAAGCCAGACATTCTTTGGGTTTTGAGAAGCCAGAAAAGCACCGACAGCAGCCAGCAGACCGAACAGCAGCCCTGCAGACAGAGAGGCCCCGCTGCCTGTGGAGGAAACAGGGTTCATTTTTTAAAGGGGGAAATACATTTGAAATCAAATAGGTTTTTTTAAACTTTATTTTCCTTTTTCTTAAACAAAACATACAGTGTCAAAGACAGGTAGGCCTACAGGTTGTCAATTTGTTTGTATCCCTCCCCCCTCATAGGATAAGACAAGCTTACTAGTACAAAACATTTAAAATGATAGACAAACAAATGGTTGAAATCACAGCACAAAACAAAAACATAAAAAGGTTGAGATAAATGTCAGTCATGGTTGACTATAGTACATCTGTGTTCTAATTCAATTAAAAATAATAATAATTATGAATCAGTAGGGAAGAGTACACAGTTTCAAACTTTCCATCTAGGTTAAAAATAAATAAAATAGGTTTGAAACGTGCTTTTAACTAAATGTGCATGTAGTTAATGATTGGCATGGTCTCCTACCTGCTTTAAAGTAACCTATGAGTCCTCCTGTCGTCACCAGAGCAGCATAGATGAACCCAATCCAGTCCACAGCCATGTCTGCTGGTGTTGTAGTTTATGAGGAAATGTTGGATTTAGCAGCATTAAATCCGAATGTAATAACAGTAACATATTTATTAAAGCGACAAAGAATTTGCGAATTAATTTTACTGTCAAAATGTCCCTCAAAACATACATTAAAAAAGAATATTAACATGTCTTACCTGTACTTTAAAACTATCCCCGTTTGTTTGGCACCCAGCAACTTCCTAATGTTACCGTGATGGTGTCACTTCCGGTGTCGTTTCAAAGTAAAATTATGCCATGATTATTAAATTGTCCTTCACTTCAAAGAGCTTTCCAGATTATAATGTGAAAGAATGAAAGCATTTAAAACCAGGAACATATGTAAACGCAACCCTCTTCAATGACACACACTCATTAAGAAACTGAAAGCATATACAGCTCTGGAAAAATGTAAGAGACAAATGCAAAATTATTAAGTTTTTCTGGATTTACTCTTTATAGGTATGTCAATCAATCAATCAATCAATGTTTATTTATATAGCCCAATATAACAAATGTTACATTTGTCTCAGTGGACTTCACAGTTTGTACAGAATATCAGTATGACAATACGACACCCTCTGTCCTTAGACCCTCACATCGTACACATCGTATGTGTTTGTGTTTGAGATAATATCATTTGAGTACATTGTTTTATTTTATTCTATTAGCTACTGACAACATTTCTCTTTGTTGGAATTCAACAGACACTGGAATAAAGTGGCTGCCATACATGTAGAGATTGAGATTTAAAACCATGTTAGAGTGGTCTCTATTTTTTCCAGAGCTGTACATCTAATAGCTCTCAGCCTATAGATAGAACACGTCTGTTCTGGAGCTCAGAAAAAACACTTTTTGGACACAGGCCCAATCTGAAATGGTAAGACTTAATTGTTTTTTATTGATACATACATCATGAGTCTTAAACCTTGCCATAGACAGAAAGCAATGACTCCAAAATAGACTTGTGCTATGTTGCCCCAAAAACAGCTAACATATCTCTTAAATGCACCGTTGCTTTATCCCGTCACTATGGGAAACAAGAGCATTGCCACAGAAAACAATTCTGAGGATTATAAAACATGTTTTATTGTTGACGATCTAATTTTCCCTCGTATTGTTCCTATTTTCATTGTTGACGGGAAAGGAATATATATTCACAAAATATTTTCACAAAACCTGTAGCAACAGCAAAGAGCACTTGCATATGTGACAAAAATATATAAAACAGTCCATGAATAACAAAACAGGTTTAATTATTCTGTTGGTTTTTTTCCACCGCCCTTTTTCTTCTTCTTGGGTTTGCTCTCGTCTTCTAGAATAACTTCTTCTGCTGCAATCCGGACTCTCTTCGTCTTTGAAAGCTCCTGAATCAGTTCTGTGGACCAAAGCAAACAGATTATAAGAACAGAGTATGTTACATAGAATTTAGAAACTAACATACAAACGAATCAAATCACCAGTGTCCCTATACCCTCTAATATCTGTAGCTCAAATCTATTTAATAAGAAGCAGTGAGACATGACTCAGCGTTTGCAGGACCTTGAGGGGTCGTGGTCGGAGCGGCTGGTTCCTCAGCGGGCGGCTGCACAGACGAAGGTTTCCACACAGCGAGGCACGTCAGGCGGGCCGTTGTGTTCACTTCCATGAGCAGAGTGGGAGACTCCAGCTCCTGATGGACAGCAGGAGTACAAAGGAGGCAGGAGTTTAGGATTTAGTGAAGAAAGGAGAGGTGACACAGCCATGGGCTTTGATGCATCAAATGTTAAGAGGATCAAATAAAACGTAGTGGCTGTTTTTAATTGATTTATTGGTTACTTGTTATCTCTGAGAAGGTAATGGCAGTGTATTGTTTAATTAAAAATGTACAACCAACAAAAGACATTGGTAGTTAAGAAACAGCTCAGCAGGGAACAACAGTGTCATTTTGCACATTTTAGTTTTTATTTTGAAAATATATGTTAACTATTTCATTTAAAAATATTTTATTCTGCTTTGCAAAGAAGGTATATGCCTATAAGTAGTCACACTATGGAAATGTTGTTATTGTGTCACTGCAAGGTACATGGTTTTTCAAAAGGAATAAGGTGGAAGTTACAAGTAAATGTGTTATAAATCAAAAATGTATAAATCAAATTAAAGACATGCCTCTTTTAGATAAAGTTTCCACATTTTGATGAATCCGTCATTTGAAGCCGTCACCAGTATGCAATGATCCTCCATCACGAAGCTGTCGACCGCCTTCACTCTGAAATCACAACATTTTGATAGGATTATATTCTGTAGTTACAAAGTCCAATTCTCTTTCATTATAGAAATGTGTTTTAGAGAAATGCAGGTGCTAACACTTTAAATAAATAGATCTGTAAAGTAAGTAAAGAACACAAACACTGAAATTACCTGTTTTCATGAGCCTTAAACTCACACAGCCATTTCTCTTTTCCCAGGTCACAAAACCTCACTTTTTCATCGTCTCCGGCAACCGCAAGAATGGAGTTCTGAAAAGATTAAAGTAGGATTTCTATTTGGCCATGTGTGGATTACCATGTCATTTCCCAGGTCCAATGTAATACAATAAGATTAGATAGAACTTAATCCCGAAGGAAATTCTTTTTGCCAGGTTGCTCCAAAATTACAATACAGATAAATCATAATAAAAGTATGCAATATACAATAGCTTAATATAAAAAGTTTTAAAGTAACGTATTACGGTGCCCCAGTAGAGAATAGGTAGCAGCCTGTGACAGTGACAAGTCATTTGGTGACAAGTCATATTGAACATTCAAGTAAAATATTAAGAAGGCGGGTGCGTTGGTGTTGGTGTTTATACCGCGGCCTGGGGAAGAATTGTGTGGTTGCGCCGTAAAGGGTTTCCATTTAGTGGCCAAGGGGGTGTAATGTGGTGGTGTCGATTTGCCGCCTTGATGAGAGGGTGTTTGCGGTCTTGCGCGAGAGATACAGTGGGGAAGAGCTGTACGGGGCCGCCGGGCGAAGACGTTGGTCAAGAGGGGGGGGCTGGCGGGGAGCGGCCGTAAAGGGGAAGCGTGGGTGTGGGGGGGGCGGTGCGATTTGGGGTGGGGGTGATTGGTTGAGAGGGGGGGGGGGACTGGTGTTGCGCGAGAGAGGTACATGTGTTGAGAGCCAACGCCTGGGGGGGTAAACTGGAAACCTACACGGTAAGTGGGGAAGAGTGTTGGATGAGGGAGAGAGAGTGAGAAGTGGGACGGGATGTGTGTTGTCGTGTGACGCCTTGCTGTGGGATAGCAATGGGAAGTCCAGGGCGAGGGACGGGGGGGAGGGGGGACTAGTGGTGTGTGAGGTGGGGTGGTAGATTTTATAGTCGTGTGTACGGGGGAGTGACGTACGCTAATGTGTCACATCTGTCGTATAGACTATGGTTTTTTGTTGTTCCTCACTCTTAGATTCGGATTACGAATTGCTTCCGACGGGGGGGTCGAATTTCATTATGTTCTCGAATATAAACTAAAGACAGTAAAATCTAAACTAAAGACACTAAACTTTACTTAAAAACGGTTTTAAGAGTTTACATTTTATAACTTGAATGGGGGGAGGGTGTGGGGTTGGTGTTCGATTCGCACGAACTTTCAGCAGTCTATAACTTTTTGAAGAAGGTACTTATGTACTACCTCATAGTGTTACAATGTATTAGGTCTCTCCGCACAATAGGAGCTTGTTGTCTACCAGGTCCCCTCCCGCCCAGAGAGACAGAGAGATAGAGAGAGCAAGAGAGAGAGAGGAGAGAGAGAGAGAGCGCGAGAGAGAGAGTGGAGAGAGAGAGAGCGAGGAGACTACCTCCAACTTCTGACTGGGACGGAGACAAAATTAGACGACGCTGAGAGTATTGCCTGTGTCTCTCTCCTGTCCAAGGCACGAGGTTAGTGGTTGCCTTTTAGTGGTTGCTCTGTGACCTCTCTGTGACTTCTCTGTGACTCCTCTGTGACCCTCCTCCCTGACTTCTCTGTGACCTCTCCCTGACTTCTACTGTGACTTCTCTCGTGACCTCTCCCTTGCTTCTCCCCGATTGCTCCCTGACCTCTCCTGTGACTTTCTCTGTGACCTCTCCTTGACTCTCCCGAATTGCTTCCTGACCTCTCCCTGACTTTCTCCCGATTGTCCCTGACTTCTCCCGCGATTGCTCCCTGTTAGAACGACTGTTTTTTTTCCCTGATTGCCACCTAGATCCAACCTGATTAGCTCCTATTTTGCTTCCTGATTGCTACCTTCGTTCTTGAAAAGGGAAAAAACACCAACCTAAGATATAGCCTAAATTGAGCTCCCCAGCCCCAAATAATTTCGTACACAACCGACATCAAAGCCTTAGAACCACAGACGAGTTAACACAGAATATTCCCATCGCCTGTTCTTTGAGTATCCTTCATCAAGAAAATAAGAATGGATGTCCACATCTGAGTACGCGTCGTGCTACCTATCGATTGTGTTGTGTGTGAGTGGTGTGTGTGTGTGTGAGTGTTGATGGTGTGATCGATGGTAGAGACTGAGTTTACGTGTGTTTGTGAGAGTATGGTTAGGTGTAGTGGAGTTGTGTGGGCCATGTAGAGATATATTTGTGATGTTGATGTACGAATGGTGTGACGTGATATAGATGTCGGTTGTCTTGGCTGTCCTGTTGTTTTTTATTGTTGTGATGCTGTAGGTAGTGAAATGTGGTGATGTATGATAATGATGATGAGAATAGTGATGTGTGTCGGAATTGTTTTACGTGGAGCTGTGTCGTCGTGTGGATGTAAGTGTGAACTGTGTTGTTGTCTAGATTGTAGTGCTGTCGTGATGAGAGTCGTGATGTGTTGTGTGGATAGTCGTGATTCGTAGAGTGTAGTGTCGCAGAGTGTGCGATCAAGACTTACCAAAGAACGACTCTACGTCCTTATCTAATGCTCGTAGTACACATAGAACGAATCTGGAATATTCTGTCTATACTACACTGTCAGAAACTCAAATAGTCACGACATTATGAACAATT